AGACGCTGAAAAAGCATTTGACAAAATTCAACATCCATGCATAATAAAAACTCCCAACAAAATGGGTATAGAGGGCAAGTACCTCAAAATAATAAAGGAGATATATGACAAACCCACAGCCAATATCATACTTAGCAGCAAAAAGCTGAAGGCTTTCCTCTAAGATTGGGAACAAGACAAGGATGCCCACTCTCCCTACTTTTATTCAACATAATACTGGATGTCCAAGCAACAGCAATCAGACAACACAAAGAAACAAAAGGCATCCACATTGGTAAGGAAGAAGTTAAATTGTCACTGTTTGCAGATGACATAATATTGTACATAAAAACCCTAAAGAATCCACTCCAAAACTACTAGAACTAATACCTGAATTCAACAAAGTTACAGGATACAAAATCAATACACAGAAATCTGTTGCATTCCTATATACTAACGATGAATTAGCAGAAAGAGAAATCAGGACAATTTCATTTACAATTGCACCAGAAAGAATAAAATACCTAGGAATAAACCTAACAAAGGAGGTGAAAGACCTATACCCTGAAAACTACAAGACACTCATGAGAGAAATTAAAGAAGAAACCAATAAATGAGAATACATCCCATGCTGATGGATAGGAAGAATTAATATTGTCAAAATGGCCATCCTTCCTAAAGCAATCTACAGATTCAGTGCAATCCCTATCAAAATACCAACAGCATTCTTCACTGAACTGGAACAAATAGTTTTAAAATTCATATGGAACCACAAAAGACCCTGAATAGTCGAAGCAATCCTGAGAAGAAAGAATAAAGCTGGGGGCATTATGTTCCCCGACTTCAAGCTCTACTACAAAGTCATAGTAATCAAGACAATTTGGTACTGGCACAAGAACAGACTCATAGATCAATGGAATAGAATAGAGAGTCCAGATATAAACCCACACATATGGCCAATTAATATACAATAAGGGAGCCATGGATATACAATGGGGAAATGATAGCCTCTTCAACAACTGGTATTGGCAAAACTGGACAGCTACGTGTAAGAGAATGAAACTGGATTACTGTCTAACTCTATATATGAAAGTAAACTCAAAATGGATCAAAGCCCTGAATGTAACTCATGAAACCATAAAACTCATAGAAGAAAACATAAACAAAAATCTCATGAATATAAACATGAGCATCTTTTTCCTGAATACATCTCCTCAGGGAAGGGAAACAAAAGCAAAAATGAACAAATGGGACTACGTTAAACTAAAAACTTCTGTATAGCAAAGGACACCATCAGCAGAACAAAAAGGTATCCTACTGTATGGGAGAATATATTTGTAAACGACATATCCAATAAGGGGTTAACATCCAAAATATATAAAGAGTTCATAAGCTTCAACACCCAAAAAGCAAATAACCTGTTTAAAAAATGGGCAGAGGATCTGAACAGATACTTCCCCAAAGAAGAAATTCAGATGGCCAACAGGCACATGAAAAGATGCTCCACATCGTTAATATCAGGGAAATGCAAATTAAAATCACAATGAGGTATTACCTCATGCCAGTTAGCATGGCCAACATCCAAAAGACAAATGAAAAATGCTGGCAAGGATGTGGAGAAAGGGGAACCCTCCTATAGTGCTGGTTGGAATGTAAATTAGTTCAACCATTGTTGAAGGCAATAAGGTGGTTCCTCAAAAAACTAAAAATAGAAATACCATTTGACCCAGGAATTCCACTCCTAGGAATTTATCCTAAGAAAACAGGATCACAGATTCAAAAAAACATATGCACCCCTATGTTTACTGCAGCACTATTTAAATAGCCAAGATATGGAAGATATGGAAGCAACCTAAGTGTCCATCAATAGATGAATGGATAAAGAATATATGGTATATATACACAATGGAGTATTATTCAGCCATAAAAATAATATAAATCTTACCATTTGCAATAGGATGGTTGGCATTAGAGGGTATAATGCTCTCATTATTATGAAATAAGCCAGGTGGAGAGAGACAAGTACCAAATGATTTCACTCATTTGTGAAGTATAACAACGATGTAAACTGAAGGAACAGAACAGCTACACACTCATAGACTCCAAGAAGGGACTAGCCGTTACCAAACGGAAAGTGGATGGGGAGGGCAGGTGAGGAGGGAGGGAGAATGGGGTTAAGGGGAATTATGATCAGCACACATAATGTAGTGGGAGCACAGGGAAGGCAGTATAGCACAGAGAAGACAAGTAGTGACTCTATAGAATCTTACTTTGCTGCTGGACAGTGACTGCAATTTGGTATGTGGGGGGAACTTGAAAATGTGGGTGAATGTAGTAACCACAGTGTTGCTCATGTGAAACCTTCATAAGATTGTATATCAAGGACAGCTTAATTTTTTTAAAAAAGTGAAGGGCCTAGCACGTTTATGTGTATGAAGATACCATAATGGTAGACAGAGAGTAATACTGCAGCCCAGCCATGCTACATGCCCTAAATATTCAAACCAAAAAGCACTGTAATAGATGTCCATGATAATGATAGTAACTCAGACAGGCTAACTTTTTTGAGTACTTACTATGTGCCAGGCCCTACTGTTTTAATTATTTCACATGTATTAATTTAATCTTAAGCCAAACTAACAACTATCCCCATCTTACAGATGTTAGTATGGTTGTTAAAAGCAAGGATGTCAGAGCCAGACTGCTTCGGTTTGATTCCTGGCCCAACCACTTAGCAGCTCATCTCTAAAGGGGTGGTAATTATACTGTCTACCTCAAAGAGTTTGTTGTGAGGCTTAACTACGTTAATAAAAACAAAGAGCTTAAGAGTGCCTAGCATATATGAAGTGCTGTCCAAGTGTTAATTCTCAATACTATTACAGAAAGAAATATAGGCCCCAGGACAGTAGAGTAGCATGCGCACGGTCACTGTGGCAGAGCCAGGGAAAGAGCCTAGGCAGTCTGGCCCTGGAAGACACAAAAGGGCACGCTTACACCTCATGCCTGCTGCCTGACATTTACTCAAAGTTTTCCATGGGCCGGGATTGCAGGCATTTTTAATGTTGCTTCATTTCAACCTCTTGATAGCTTCACAGAATCTCCACTTTACAGACATGGAAACCAAGCATGCTAGTCACTGCCTAGCACATCAGGGGCACTCTGATGAGAAAGACACAAATGCTACCCTACAGGAACTTACAGGTTTAGGTGCTAAAAAACTTGCCTAAAGGCACCAGCTATGAGGAAGAAGGGCTAGGATGCACATGCAAGTGTACCTGCTTTCTTCACTCCACCCACACATCACTGCATTAAACACAGAGTGTCTGAGGCAAGAATGATAGTTTTAGTGAGAAAAGGAAGAAGGGAGGCAACATATGAGAGAAGAACAGGAGTTTTCTGGCAGGTAGGAAAGGTGTGCACAAGATCAGTCTCTCTGTGGTTAGTGGCCATCTTAACCCTTTATATACCCAGTTTTTTACAGCCTAGGTACATTTATCCCATAGAGACATATTTCATGACTTAAGGGAAGGAATGAGAAAATAATTTCTACTTAACTTGTTAAAATATACTCTGGAGTGAAGATTAAAATAATGTGAAATACCAGAGAGCATGGCATATAGGTGCCCAAACAATTACATGTACATCCATCAAACTTCAAATTAATAGATTTTTGTGTAAATTGCATCCATTTATATACCCATGAGCACACACGTGCACTTATTTTTAATGCTGCCTAGGTAGCTGATGGAAAAATTCTGGAAGTTTTCTTTAAGTTCATACAACTTGAACTACCAATGATTTTATCAGAGCATTTGTATAGATGCACCGGCAGAATCAAACAAATAAAACTGGTGCCTCTCCTGAGGTACATTAAGCCTTCTGAGACACATCGGAGGAGGTGACAGCTGCCTTCCTTCCTACACAGCCTAGGCCTTAACACTCATAATTATGCCTCTCAGTGAACTTAGCTGTTGCCTTTCAAACCTAAGTAGACTCTGTTCTGATCTAATTATTGATTTACCGGTTTCATTGTTTCATTTTTCTGTATATCCTGTATCACTGTTATATCATTGTTGCTGAAGTAAGGTCTGTGGATCTTTTTGAGATATACAGGAACAAAATTGCCCTCAAAAAGAGTTTTGCCCACAGAAAAATTCAAAACAAATGAAAAATAACAATTTATGTTTAAAGACATGTGTCCTACTAATAATTAATTATTTAAGAAATCTTGGAGGAAATGTCAAATACACTAAGTTGGGGGATCCTTGCCCAGGTTTGCTTAGAAGCCTGAAATGTAATTTCAGGGAACTGCAGCATTTTCAATATTACCATAGCAAAACAATCCCAAACAATTCCTTATATAAATTTATTGAAACATTACAACCTATGTAATCTTGAGTAAAAAAGCTAATGTGATTATTTTCACCAGAATCAACAGATTTAGAACTTTACAGGTGAAGTGGAATGGGTCAACCAAACTAAGAATCTTTAAATGCTCAGACTTTACACCAAGTTAACAGTTAATAGCACTAGGGTGTCCAAAGTTTTTATGCTGCAGTCGTATTTGGAGGTAAGTTGCTACCAAAAGCATTCCCATGTGGCGGATTACATACGGGGGCCTGGCACAGAAGCTTTGGCAGCTGAGGCATTCCCCTCCTGCCTGGCCAAGCCCTGGCTGGCTGCTGTACTGTCAGCTCGCAGATTCTCCCAGCAGACCCCAGCAGGTGATGTGCCCTAAGAGTGGTTTCTCCTGGTTCTTCATTTACTTCTCTTGATTTCCCTGGGAAGTGGAGCATGTCTCCCTATCTGTCCCTCTCTCATGAATCAAATTACCAATGTGACTAGCAATTTAGGGCCCTTCTTGTGAAATGAACCTGTATCAAAAATAAGTTCTTTGTTTCTAGTAATATCACTATTTACAGAACATAAAAGGCAAAACCTGTGTCATTTGCAAACACCACTATCTCACCACTCTCAGCACAGGAGGGTGGGATGGGGGACTGTCACACAATTTATTGTACCTGAGAGTCTGAAGCACCTTCTGCTTCTGTCACAGGTATGTGTTTGTCACTGTTTTCCTCCTCTTGTTCAAGGGCTAAAAAAAAAAAAAAAGAATGTTAAAAAAAACAAACAAATGTAGCATCATAAGAAAACAGTTTCAGGTCACTTTCTTTCAGTACCAATTTGGCAGGAAAAAATTTTAGGTAGACTCACAAAATACAAATATTGGTATTTTTTTATTATTTGGATGAAAAGTTTAATAGCCCTGGGCACTTTTTATGTATATTATTTCATTTATTAAGTCAATGGCAGTGGAAAAGTTTGATCTCAATTCTCTTCACCTAAACCCATCTCACATTATCATGTTAGTATTGTGCTTCACCCAAAGCGGAGTTGACACAGATGAAGGATTCAAGTTTTAATCTCGGAGCAACCTTTTTTTTAGACGGTATGGTTTTTGGTTGGTAGTTTAGTGTCCTATAGTAAAGAAAGAACAATATTTTATATTTGGACTTTTCAGTGTACTGTTAGCACAAAATTCTAAACTGTGGTTTTTTCTCATATTTCCATGGCCTCTCCCCATCCAGATCCTTGTCACCCTTTCTGTGCTGGTGCAATAACCTCCTAACACAAAGCTCTTGATTCCAGCCTCTGCTTAATATAAGCCAGCATGCGCATGTCTGCTAAAACAATCGGTCTCAAAAAATATAACAAGTCCATGCTTTGGCCTATGGATCACTTATCAAGTCTGAACTTTCTACTCATCACTGAACGTCTTCCTTGACTTCTCTAGCTTCCTCTCAATCTGTGACTTCACACTGACATTCAACACGAAGCACAATGATTTGATTATTTTCCTCTTTGAACAGTTTGCTCTTTCACTTTAACAAATATTTATTGAGCACTTGGGTTGTCCCTGTGAACAAGACAGATAAGCCCCTGAATTCATGAAATATACACACTAGTTGGGGAGATAGCCAATGAACAACGACTACTATTAACTAATAACAACAGTAATAATAACTATACTAACTTTTAAAAAATAAGATGGAATTAAAGGTCATGATAAATAAAGGTCAGAAAGCTGGAGGGGGTCATTTTAGGGAGGGGACCCGGGCTGGTGTCTCTCTGAAGAAGTGGTATATGGGCTGAGACCTGAGGATCGGGAAGGAGCCATGGTGGCAGGTGAGAGTGATGTGAGACAAACCAGGAGACAGCACAGACCACTGGAAGTTCAGATTTTAGCTAAGACCACTGGGAAGGGATTTAAAATTGTGAACTGCATAATTTAATGTATGTTTTCAGTTCTTTTGGCTTCTTCGTGAAGAATATACTTAAGAAAAGGAAGAGAGGAAGCAGGGAGGGTGTTAGGTGACTGTTGGTAATGTCTTGGCTAGAGATGACAATGGCTCAGACCAGGGATGTGGCCATGAGCTGAAGAAACACAGAGGATTTGATTATTTTTAGAAAAAATGGACACGACGCGCCAATGAACTGAATGGGGGGTGGGGAGCGAGATGAGGGAGAAGGAGCAATCATGGATGACTTCTACGTAGAGTAAGTTGCATCTGCCCTACCTACCATTTATTCTTTTCGCTCTTTCCATCAAAAGCAGGCAAAAACGTGCCAATCTCGCTGACAGTGAGGTCATGCACTGTACTTATGGGTTTGGTTTCCACTGTTTTATATACTTTTAAATACTATGCTCTCTACTTTGTATTTTTTAAAATATCATTTCATGTACCTTTTGCTTTTGTATGCCCTTTATGCCTACTGTATGGTGCTCACCATGGAGCCCATCTAAAATTCTGTGCACACAGTATGGGTTCTGCAACAACTAATGGATGGACAATTCTTCCCCAGGTGATCAAAAATGGCACAACTTGACTACACATACTTATATAACTACTTCTTTCATAACTATTTATGACAAAAGAGGGGAGGGAAATTCTATTAAATTCTCCAGATATATAGGAAAACTCCAACCACTGAGCATCTAAAGGCAAGGTAGGAACAGCGGAAGTGTGCAGAAGCTTTTCTTCTATTTTCAAAAAGGTCCATTCATGCTTGTTCAAAGGGGGTCCCCTGCTGCTACTGTTACTGATTAGGAGGAAACTTAAGAATAAAGAAAACCACTAATGTTCTCTCTGAAAAATGAGAGGCAAGAATGCAAAGGAAAAAGTAAAATATAGAATAACATTGTAAATTTCACTTACAAATGCAATGGGCTGTAGAAGAAAGGAATTCCGATTAACTAATTTAAATAACATGTCTTTCCTCATCTTACAATGGGGGAGTGATTTTCTTGCAGGACAATTTGATGATATGACAACATGGGACAGTTTACCTCACATAAAGGTACCAGTCATACCCTGGGACTTAATTTATGCTTTATTTGAATGTTTGTTCTTTAAAGTTTCAGTTTTAATGAAAATGAAGAAAATTAAATTTTGGAATATTTTTGCCTCCTAAAGTCATGTTTTTTGTTTTTAAAACAACAGGGTTCTGACATTAAGCCATTTCTTTTTCTTACCTTTTTATTCTGTAACATAGTACATTCAAGACAATGAAAAGCAATTTCAGGATTGAGAGTTAATGCTATTTTTTTAGATTTAGGCATAATTCTTAGTACATATAAATAGAACAAAAGGAGGAAGAGATTAACATAAAAGCATATTTGGGATATGCTTTCCAACTTTATCCCCAACAGCAATGCTACATTTCTTGTCACATCTTTGAAGACCTCAATCTTGTTGCCTAGCATTACACTTCAGTTTTCTGAGTGAGAATTAGAAACACAGCAATGTAAGGGACTTCCCAAAAGTAACTCAGCCATCTATCTCAATCCGTGCAACAGAGACATTCTCAAAACTTTGGTGGACTGTTAACCTCAGCACCCTGATGACGAAGAAAGGAGTGTGCTCTTTTCCAATGCATAAATGACATTTTCTTGGAAATACTGAAAAATTATGGTTCCAAGAATGCATTTTAGTCAGTGGTTCACATGTACCACGTGGGGACAAAAACTTAACTTATCCTGGACTTCTGAGAATTTGTGCTCACCACAGGAAGTACCATGTCTGAAATACATAGTCATCTAAAAGGAAACATTCTGTTGACCCCTTAATATGAAGATTAATGTCAAGGAATACACAGAAAGACCATTTCTCTCTTCATGCCTCTTGGTAGTGCAGTTCACACTGGAAGGAGGAGGAAACGGTTATTTGGATTTTGTAGCTCAATTTTTCTTTTATCTGATCAGAGTTAAGAGGAGGCTGGGGAAAATTCCCTATGCAAATATTGCTTCTGGGACAGTTCCCTCCAGTGGAACACGTACACAGGAATGACAGGCTCTGGGGCCAAGGGAGACTTGGAGCCCTCACTCTTTGCCAACACAAACCATGCCCTTATCTCTCAACACAGTCTAAAAGCAAGAAAAGGCCTTTGCAAATAACTTACGACAACAAAAGCCACAAGCACAAGATCTAAAGTGCAGGTTTTGAGTAGTAAACATGAGAGCCCGCATGAGAACTAGGGATATATGTGGATTAATTGGCACTAATTCACACGAGTACTTAGTATAAATGTATTTATTTGCAAATTAGTCAAGAGCCATACCAGATGAGCTACTGCTGACAGCCTCCAAGGATTTCAGGCCTTGATAACACCTCTTTGTTGCCTTTGGGACAACAGGTTTTCTCTCTGCTTGACTTACAGGATGGTTGCTAAGAAAACTCTTAATAACTCTAATATTAGTATTTAAATACAAACAAGACTGACACCCTTTCAAAACAATGTTTAGCTTCTGCTGATCAATTTTATAAAGGTTAAGAGCCGCATTAACAGAGCATTAAGCACAACGATCGTAAAGCACTGGATGACTGAAGTTGAGAGCATCCTTAAAAAAAACAGCCAAACAATTTTTTTTTTAATTTTACAAACCAATCAAAAATTTTATGACTGGGATTGAGCATTTTGAATTGCAATGTGAGAATCACAAAAATACAGTTAAGAAAAATAATTCATTGAATACTTTGCCAAGAATTAAAGTTTTGGCAGTAACATAACCTTTCACCTGTGCAGCATTTTTACAAAAAGAAAGCTCTTTCGTAAAGGGACCCATTGGATGTGCACACAACCTAAGAGGTAGGCAGGTACAATCAGCCCTACTCACAGGTGAGGTTAAGTAAACCTTCCTAGCCCTCCCCTATGACATGCATGCATCCGTGGCAGTCTAAGTCTCCCCGGGGCCAGGATGAAGCCATACAGTCCTGGCCAAGCTGCACCATGACAACTCCACTCATATGAGTCTCAACCAGTATTTCTTCTCATTTATTTTCTTTTTTAATGAACTAGAAGAGAATACAATAGGAAGAATAAGAAAAAAAGTTTAACATCCAAATGTCCCACTAGTAAAATTAAGTATTTTTTACAAACGTGGATGAGATGTGTACCAGGTCGGGCTCTTCTGTGTGTTCTAAGGGTTGTGGACACAAACGTGTTAGGAAAACAGTGAGGTGTTTCCAGGCTCCAAAAGGGAGAACCCAGTTCTCTTTATTCTCTAAATAACCAGCTATTTTTTTTGTTATCATTAATCTACAATTAGATGAAGAACATTATGTTTACTAGGCTCCCCACCTTCACCAAGTCCCCCCCACCCTCCTACACTGCTGGTAGGAATGTAAATAAGTTCAACCATTGTGGAAAGTATATGGAGGTTCCTCAAAAAGTTCAAAATAAACAAACCAGCTATTTTTTTGTATCATTCCTTGAGAGAGGCAATATTATTATTCTAGGAGGCCCCTCAACAACACTCCATCTTACATTCAGCAAGCAGCACATTCCCTGAGATGATGGAGATGAGCTCACAGCAGGAAATGCTGACAGAGGATATCCACTTTTGGTTACCAATGTTTAGAATCACCAATCACATAGGATCACCAGTGCTTCAAAATGCCCAAATCTTTTCTATTATTTAAAGAGTAAGAGAAAAAGCAGTTGCAATCTTCATCTCGTCACTGTATGTTTTTCTGAAAAATGGCAGTCCGTATTCACCCTCAAGGCATGCCATACAGTGCTGTAGCTCATCCAGTG